GGATATTTGTAAAGAGATGGTACTGAGAACGAAACCGTATTTCAACTTCTACCAATTATTTGTCTTCAACAAGCAACAATTGCACACAAACTCAATACATATTTAACTGATTTGAACAGGCAAAAAAAAAAAAAATAAAGACAATGTATTAACAGGTAATAGAACCAGTAGTGAAATTCAAGAACTCTAGGATCCCAGCCCTTTAGCTCCATACCCTGATATAAAAGTAATAGGAAAAAACCAAATAATAAAAAAAATCTCCCATTACCATTATCAAAAACAGCAAAGAAAGAATAATCCACCTGACTCAAAGAAGTTGAAACTGTTATACAGATAATTTACACTCTGCAATAACAAAGTAGCTGTAGCTGTTTCCATTTTAAAAGGAAAAATATAAGACAGGAGAAAACCAACAGATCTAGAACTGCACAGTAAGTCAGTTCAGAACAAAGGAGTTTTAACTTCCTGTCTGACGCTATCCTTCCAAAGTAAGCTACCTTTTGGTCAGAGAATTCTATCAGCTGTTTTAAAATGCCAAAACCAGATTTGTAACAAAAGAGTATAAAAATCATACCTGGTGGTAAAAGTCATCATCATCAAAGATTTCTTCATCCAAGTCCTTGAGGTGGGCGTTGGCAGGGGCTTCAGGAAGGATCTCCTATATCAATAAGAAAGGAAAGAGTTTTAGGTTATCAAAGTAACACAGCTACTATGAACGATGTGTACTATAGTCAAAGCACTGTTTTCCTTAAGATATAAAGACCTCTTAAAATTAAAGAACAAAAACAATCCAACTGAAAAATGGGCAAAAACATTAACTGGCACTTGACAAAGAACCACAAATAGTTAAGAATCATTTGAAAATATGTTTAACCTCACTCTAATTAAAAACATGCAAATTAATGAGAAGACACCATTTTTCACCTCTAAAATTGGCAACACTCAATATTAGAAAACACAGCTGGTGGGACTGAAAATTAACGCAGCCTTTTTGGAGGCAATTTGGAAACATCCATCAGGATTTAAAATGTATATTCTCTTTAACATTTCCACTTCAAGAAACCTATCCATATGCTCACACAAATACAAAAATATATATGCTCAGGAATATATACTGTAGCACTGTCTCTAAAACTGGAGACAACAAAAATATCCATTGTTTGAATAAATTATAGTACAATGGAATACCCTTAGCCATGAGGAAAAATGAGGTAGATCTCTATGTAACGATATGGAGAATTGTCTAGGATATACTAAATTTAAAAAGCTGTAACACTTTATATATTTATATACACATATGTATCCATATCATTTAAAAGAAAAGGCAATCATATTTATTAC